TTTCATGTAAATCGGCCAGCCACAACTCTAAGAATACGCGGAGGAGGTGCCCGCTTTCAAGTGCGTCTGCGCGCCGGCCACCCATGCCGGGTCCTTCAAGTGCCGCTTCCACCACACCAACTTCCAGGGCCACGGCCACGGCCAGGGCCAGGGAAGCCGCCCTTCTTCACCCCCTTCACTGGCCGCGGCCAACGCGGTGCCGCGGCACCCGGCCTCGCCGTCCTCGTCCTCCGGCACCGTCGCGACCCAGTGACGCAGCCCAAGCATCGGCCTCGAGAATCAAGAACGCTCGACAACGAAGAGGGAAGGGAATATCATATACATGTCATAAGAAAGGGAGTTTATTTACTGCTCCCTCGATGTATTGTTTCCTTTGTTTAGAGACTGATTACCATCCGTGAGTTAAGGTAAGGTTGTGATTGAGCAATTTTTCTGAAAATCAAATATTTGTTTTTTAATTAGTGTGATTGAGTGATTTAAAGTAAGGTTAATTAATTTAGATTTGATATTTAGAGATTGTTCGTGATTGATTCTACAATATGGAAAGTTCTTATCTGTTTAGATTTCTTTCGTTGTGTGAGAGGGTGACGCGAAAATAAATCAATGAAGTGGGGGGAGGGGGCGAAAAAAAATCTACGAAAAAAACCAGCGAAGGTGGGAGGAGGTACAAAAAAAACAATGGAAGATGGGACGAAAAAAACCTGAAAGCGAGACTACCAACTGCTCCATTAGGAGTAGAGATTTCACTCTTATTGGAAAAGGTGCTCATCAATAATACCAAAAATGTCCGCCCACTCGTGTGTAAAATGTTTCATATCTCGACATTTTAAATGAAAACAATAATATTGCGATGATGTACTTTCTCAAAATTCATTTTTCCTTGTTCGACAAAGATGATTATAATGGACTAGAAGTTATGGGTGGAATGGTGAATACAAACGAACTTTACTGGTGAAAAGAAAAATAGAGGTCAAAAGGGGACCCAAGTAACCGCATTTTTTAGTCAGGACCCAGTGTGTGATCGATCGTACAGATCAGTGTCTCAACAAGAGCACTTTTTTGAAAAACATACAAGGAAAAAAATAAAGCAGTAGTACTACTACTATTGATCGGCGCCAATTGAAACGCCATGGCCAGTTATAGGTCCAACTATATATGTCGCCTCTTGCAAGTTTGAGGCCTCACCTACCATTACATATTTTGGGCCGTCCCATAAAGCATGTCCGTCTTATCGGTTTTCTCCAGCACCCTTGTTTCTCGCAAGCGGCCTAGCAGTCACAATTATTTTCATCATGTATTCAAATATGTTAATTTTACAAAATGTTCATCATGTGCTTACAAAATGATCATCATGTATTAAAAAAGTTCATCGTGTATTTAAAAAAATTCACTAGTTTTTAAAAAATGACGACTTTTTTTAAGTAAAAGATAGAAGAAAACAAAAGAAAAAGAAACCAGAAAACCCAATAAAAATCAAGATAGAAACATGAATGAATCAGAAGCAAAGGAAAATCGGTTGACTGGTCAATGCATGGGTCAGCCCATGCGAGTGACACCTTGTGCATGACGTGGACACTTTGACATAGTGAGTGCCAAAAAGGAGCCACTCACAAATAGTGCAATTGCGAAGAGTTGGGATGGAGGTCTCTATGTCTCCCCCAATGTCAATCTCTGCTCAGCTTCATCAATGTCGTCCTTCCTCCAAGATTACCACTCTTCCGCACTCCCCAACCTCTCTCCTGGTGAAGGTTAGAGGGGGCCAACGCAAGATTCGGTCGAGGAGATCGATGGTTAAAACTGTTGTCTTGATTCAAGTTAGTCTCATGCTGTTTTATCTATAGTACTTTTCTTTCATCAATAAAACACTTATTTTTCGATTCAACAAAATCTGACATTGATTCATCTTTTTGTTACGCAACAACGACATTGATCCATCTAGATGCGTGGAGCTTGCCAAGCATGTCAAACTAGCGTGCCCGAACCTAATAGTTCGCATCTCGTGACAATAGGGATGAAAGGTTACTCAATAGCGGTAAATATTAAGGTGAGTTTGTAGTATGGCACCATAATTAATCTTGAAAGTAATCACAACATCTATTTTTTTATTAGTTCAACCATTTTTGAACCAAGGGAGTATCCAAACGGACAGTACAATAACTGAGACTCGACGGAATTACTAAAAGTAGAATCAGTGAGAATCGATGGAACTACACCACAATGCGCAACACATATAAGATTGTTATGTCTGCCCTCATAGATTATGTGCACAAATGGCACCAATCAGTTATTTAGCTAGGATTTTGCAACACCCTAGGCCAAAAAACAAGGAAACTGTGCTAAACAATGATTAACACTCTACTGCAGAGCATACTAGCAGTGGCGGGCGGGCCGGCGCCTACCATTGATGTGCCACCAACTGTTAACAGGTAACCAGTGCAGGGCGAACAAAATAAACCGCCACTGGTTGAAGGGAAGGTGGAATCCGGTAAAGCACATTTCATCCCCTCGCTTCTTCTTCCTCGCACCTCCTTTCCGTCATTGGAGACAACAAAAGTGTAGATTCAAAGTCTTCTGTAGCAATGACGCTAAGGGAGAGTGTCCTGACCACCCTTTGTGAAGAGAGAGAGAGAGTGTACGTCGACGGGGGACAGCGCAAGTCACCGCACGAGCTGGCCATCGGAACGGCCGCACGCCTGCAAGGGTGCATGGAAATTGGTCAATCTCCACCACCACTTACCCCCACCTGAAAAACCTAATCAAGCAAAGGTTCCTTCCTCCCTGAAGCGATCTGTTGTGGGCTTGTGGCTGCCCGCAAAGAAGATAGAGGACGTCACGAAGCCGGATAGCTGGAAAAGGGTAATACACACATCTTTCCTCTATCACGGCCTCTCATTACGCCTGCATAATTTGTTTGTGGCATCCTAGTCTTGTACGGTCGCCAGCTACATCGTGTTATGCCAAACCGAGTTCTGCACTTGGCTTGTTTCATCACCTTGTGTGAATGCTTCCTGGGGATTTCGCCACATTTAGGGCTTTGGCACTACCTCTTTAAGGTGAAGCTACATAGGGAAGATGGCGCAGTTCCATATTGTGGGGGTGTTGTCGTATTTGTATGTCTACACTGTACATACCGGAGGAGGAGATTGATTATGTTATGCTTATCCCTAATGTTGCAACCCTTTCAAATTGCCAATCATATGATTCATGTTGTAGTTAGTTCAGGGAGGGAGCCGTTCAAAATTATAGCGCAAGTAAACACCAGTGGAGAAGAATGCAAGTACATAAGAGATATTAAATGGACCCAAATAAATTAACTTTAATTCGTAGGCACGCTGAACAGTATATTCAAACTGTTGTCCGGATGCAAATCACTTCCATATTGTTTTATTTGTATTCCTTTTTCTTTCGTCGAAGGCTTTCTTGGCAATGACGAATTCACTGATGAAATACATCCATTTTCTTGACATGAAACACATCCATTTTTTTGAGATGAAAGTTGAAACACATCCATAACGATTCAGCAAAAGTCTTGTAAACACATGGAGCTTGCCGAGCATGTGAAACTATCGCTTGCTGAAACATAATAATTGTAGGTCACATGACAATAGGGATGAAAGATTACTCCTCGACACCAGAAAACATCATCACGAGTGCTCTCTCTGTGTCGACCTCCTGAAGTCGCAATTTTCTTGTGATCTAAATACATGGCGCTGGTAAATTATAAGATTGAAGTTTGCGAGGTCCTTGGATACCAACAGAACAGTTCGAACTCTCCATGGGATTGTCTCGTGAATTTAAGGGCGCAGTAAGAAAATATTTGTCAGTTGTAACTGTGTTTGTAGTATTGTGGAACACCAAATCAGAACAAGAAAACTAGGTGCAAACATGATAAAATTCATGGAGCTCCATTAATCCTGGAAGTAACTGTGACATTACTGGTGGCTTTGTGGCATTACAATGAGGATTGCTTCCACCATTTTGTACCAAGGGAGTATCCAAGCCTAAAGCAAAATCAGTGAGACTCGATGGGATTGTGCAAACAATTAACGGAACTTTCATGGAACTGACGGGATCGTGCTAACTGAACTTTCTTGTACCATCCTGGAAGCTAGTAGATAGATAAATCAGTAATGAGAGAGAGAGAGAGAGAGGGATCTGATGCACGCGGTTGCTCTGCGGGAGTTCTTCTTTGGTAAAATAAAATAAAATAAAGAAACTACATCATTTCAGTCTGTGTCCAACAAATGCAACTGTCTTCACTTGGTAATTACTGCTGCTAGTGTTGCAGTATGTGCATGGATTCATTTGTTTGTCTATCCAAATCCATGTTAAATTAATACTCTGTCTAATTAGCAAACAGTTACAGTAGCAAGATGATTGGTACTCTGTCTAATTAGCACAAAAACATTGATAAATTGCAACATTTTAGCAGCATCTCAAAAAATAAACGAGATGAAAAGGAGCCACAAAGCACAAACACATCACAGCAGCTTAGCAGTCTGGCACAGATTAATTTCACATTCAGATGGAATCATAGAAATACATAACATTACATACATCGATTTCACTTCCCACCATGCATCATAAGCATCCATCTAACATTTTACTGATATACTACTACTATATGTCCGTTCCATCACAGCGGCACACTAATTAACCATAATTACCGCGACGCTAAACAACCATCAGCGAATAGTAGACAGATAGAGTACTGAATTACTGATAGCTAGACTAGAGTATTTCATCTCATAGCTCGACCCTCGACGGAATCAAAGGGCTGCGGCCACGGCCATGGGCCAGGCGAGGCCGACAAGGTAGAAGACACAGAGCAGCGGCACGTCGTCCGCGATGAAGTCGGCCTTGTGGACGTCCAGGTGGCCGGCGCAGCTGCTGGTGGCGAAGGCGGCCGCAATGGCCGAGACGCCCGCGAGGTGCAGTTTCCAGGCGAGGAGCAGCGTCCGGGCGTTCTGTGCCAAGGCGGCCACCACGGGCGCTGATGCATGGGCGCCAGCGGAGAGCAGCAGCAACAGTCCATGGGTGCGCATGCTCACCCATGGGTGGAGGGTGGCGAGGCAGAGGGCGAAGACCACCCCCGCCAAGCCGAGGAAGGTGTGAATCCTCACCATCACTCGGATGATTATCTGCGTGTCACCTACGGCCGCTGCTCTGACGCCAACAGCAGCAAGAACTCCACGGCCACCGACAGAACCACCAGCCTCCATCGTCTGCGCCGCGCACCAGAGAAAGAAAGTAGCTGCTGTGGCGTGTGGCCTGTGTGTGTAGACTGTGGAGCGGAGAATGAGATGGCTGGTGGCTGGGTGTCTGGCGCAATAGTATATGCAGAGATGGAGGATAGACCGAGCAGAGACGATGGTGGCGCTGCAGAGATGCATGTGACGCTCCAGCTAGCTAGAGCTTGCGCCATTTGGGGCAAACCTCCATTTCTGGCTCTCGCCATCAGTGCATCGCATTTCATTGCGGTTGGTGTCCGTTGAACCCAACGGTGGGGTGGGCATGGGTGCATGGGGAATGGTCGTCTTAGGCATCTTGCATATGGGCCCTGCACTCACATGCAGGCACTCCCGCTGGTGAATGACCAGATGAAAAGCTACGTATACTTTTTATTTTGTTTTATTGAGAAGGGAAAACTAAAAGATAAAGACTAGATTGTCCTCAACAATCTTAGACTAGCCACAGTGGGAGTAACTTCAGCAGTAACATCGAGTCCAACTCAGCAAATTTGCTTATGTGACAATGAGTTAATAAGGAGAGAGGTAGTAGTAGTAACTTAGTTAGTTACTGTAACATCACATGTCCCAATGCAATATGAGTCTATAACCTAATAAGTGAAGCTATGCATGTTACCACACTTATGTTACTACCCACTATGAAAGTAGTAACATAGTCTAGGAATACGTGTATGTTACTACTCTCCATTGTGGCTAGTCTTATAGACATAGTAATTCTTTATTTTGTTTCTAGGAGAGTGAACAGAAAAGAGAGAAAAAAACACAATAAATTTGTAAAAGTAAACAGCAAAGAATATTCCCTTATCCCGAAAAAGGAAAAGTAAAAGGAGCAGTCTATTTCTTCACACCTTTACCACTAAAGGAAAAAGTCTAAAACAAACCTTGAAATTGTAGACGATAGCTAAATCAAAACCTGAACTTTGAATCCCGGAAATTGACACTCTGAACTTGTAATCCCGGTCTATTTTGAACCCTATACCTGTTTGGCACACTGGGAATAAGAAAATCCTGGGGATAACCTGCTACTCAGAATTTGGGCAGGCCCACTATAACACAACAACAAAATCATGAACTTTAAAATATATTCACGCATTTCTAAAATATCCAGAAGTTAAAAAATATTGTTGTTTTCTATTTTTCGCACAAATTCAATTCCTTTGGTTTTTTAATTTTTTTCTGAAATTTTGAAATTATATTCGCATTTTCAAAAATTGTTTGTGATTACGAAAGCAATTCTAAAAAATGTTCAGAATTTCAAAAGTTCTTCACATCCTATGAAAATGTTTCGGATTTTTAAAAATCATGTCGCATTTAAAGTAATGTTTTTAGAATTTTCTTTCGGATCGTTGGCTAAGGACTCGCCTGGGTCAGCCCACCAGACATGAAGCGGGCTTTTATTTTCTGAAAGCTGAACAATTTTTTTTAAGTGCGAACACTTTTTGAAACATAAATATTTTCTGAAACCTGAACATAATTTTAAAGTGTGAATGCTTCTTGAAAATTTTAAAAATAGGAACAAATTTCTAAATCTGAAAAAACTGTAAGAAAACATAATCTTAAAGTTTAAAAAAATGTACGGAAAAATTCAAACAAATGTTTATACAATGTACAATAATATTTGTGTAACTCAAAAAAATGTTTTATACATTCGAAAAAATTTAGCATTTCAATAATGTTTACAAGTTTCAAAAAATGTGTTTGTGAGATTTTCAAACAAAACTGTGTGTACAATGTAAATAAAAAGTTTGCATGTTGTAAAAAATTGTGTCTTACACTTAACAGAATATACTTGGGTTGTGTTTGAAAAAAGTGTCTACAAATATGAAAATGTTGAACCATGCAAAAGAGTGTTTGTTTAGTTTTATAATACGTTTATTATCATTAAGAAAATGTAAACATGTACTTAAATAATAAATATGTATTAACTTTTTTGAAAACATTTAATTTAAAAATGTACATGATGTATTTTAAAATATCAAAAGTTTATCAAAAAATATTATGTGTGTGTTAAAAATGTATATTGGGTACGAAGAAAAAATAGACATGTGTAAAAAATAAAAAACATAACAAAACAAAAAGGCAAAAACAAAGAAGACCAGGAGCAGTGGGCGCGCGCGAGCGATGCTGCTAATGGGCCGGCCCAGTTCAGCAAATACCGGCTAAATCCTCTCAAGGTTTAAAATAGACCGGGATAACAGAGTTTGGTGTGCTGATTTCAAGGATTGAGAGTTCAGGGTTTGATTTAACTTTCACCGACAAATTCAAGGTTTGTTTTGGACTTTTTCCACCACTAAACTATACCCGCTACATTGTGGTATAAATGGTACCCTTTGTAAAGGATAGCCATTTGACAAAGAGACTAATTCCCCTTTATGAATTAGATGGAGAAGATTCATGACACTGAGCCGTTGGTACTTCTACGGTCTTTCAAATTATAGCATCTCCAAAAGGAAAACACTGAGTAGCACGGGTCTTCAGGGAAGAAACGTTGTTCAACCATGGCCATCCCGAGTGTTGTACTGGGTAGCACAATCCCTTAGGCCTTAGTCCATGAACTCACAAAGTACATGCTTTTAGCATTATATCCTCGTTTAAGTGATGTAGTTTTGTCCTAGCAATCCTTAATGAGCACTGAAGTGGCCTATGTAGGCGTCACAATCCCCTCCCAGTGAGCATGACCATTTCCTTGACAATCTCTAACATGCCCATGCGTCCTGCAGATCACCGGGAGAAGAGCATGTGGCTCAGAGCATCTCCAGCCATGCCCCAAGAAGCCCCCCCACCCCCCGCCACTTTTTGGGCGCCGACGGGAAAAAAAATGCCCCACTCATGCCCCCAAGTCCTTATTTTTCGCCGGCAAAAGCAAAAATTAGCGCCGGAGGCCCCATGCCACACCCAGCGCACCGGGGGGTAGGCGCTGGGCCACATGCCATCGTCTCTCCCCTGTCCCCTCACTTCCGCTGGTGAATGACCAGATGAAAAGCTACCATCTCATAGACAAAGTAATTCTTTATTTTGTTTCTAGAAGAGTGAACAGAAAAGAGAGAAAACAAACACAATAAATTTGTAGAAGTAAACAGCAGAGAATATTTATCCTGAAAAAGGAAAAGTAAAATGAGAAGCCTATTTCTTCACACCTTTACCACTAAACTATACCCGCTACATTGTATATTATGGAAAAAGTTACTCAATTTGAAAAATGTTCATTGATTTCAAAAGAAGTTTATGGATTTGAAAAAAAAATCTTCATTTTTTTTCTAAATTCACTAATTTTGAAAAAAAAATCATTCAATTTAGCAAATTAAAAAGAAAAACTTAAAAATAAGAATAAAAAAAGCCGAACTAAACTGTTCCAATGAAAAGGACAAAGGAACAAGAAAAAGGAAAAAGAGGAAAGAAGAAAGAAGAAAGAAGAAAGAAGAAAAGAAGTAAAACGATGTAACTAAATACCATTAGGGGAGGGTGGTAAGGTGGTTTGCGTATTGGTCGCCTGTTCAAAACACACTGGTCGTGCATCTTCTTTGGCGTTAAAATAGATTAAAAAATGAAGATGGGCGGGCCCAACGCTGAGGACACGATGTGCGCTGGTTTGCAAAACGTGTGTAATGGGCACTTAAGGCACCGAATAGGATTCACCCACGCTCACCCATTTTTTTCTGCTCACCTCACCAATGGTCTACATCGTAGATATAGATCTACTGGGTTTTTTTTACTTTTATTTATATTTATTATATAAGTTCTCTAAAAAAAATTTGCGTGCTTTTAAATATGTTCATTGAGTATTGAAATTTCAACAGATGTTTAAAAAAATGTTTATCGGCTATTTGAAAATAGTCGTCATGTGTTTGAAAATTCATTGTGTTATTAATAATGCTTATGATGTACTTTGAAAAAGTGTTCATATATTTATAAAAATCTTATTCGTCTTTGCAATGATACTTCATTACTAAGGGCATGCTTCTTCTTTCATACAATGTTTGAGATATAGCATTTGCAACTTTCTAGGTTGGGTTTCACTAGTGTGGATTTTAAAACTTTTTTGCTTTTATATGCTCTGCATATCCATGGCCTTGCCCAACCAGTCTAAATCTCCAGACCATTTCCTTGTCACTCTAAGGCTTTGTTTACAAAAGATGGACTGTTGCAGAAAAATGAATGCTTGTAGATACATACTGGAAAACAACAAATCTCCTACCCGGGACGGGAGAAAAATAGGAAAACGAAAGGTGAAGAGTTATACGAGGTGGGTCTTGAGCTTATGTGGTTCTTGGTATTCCAGGTCTGAACCCTTCTTCAGGTCTGCTCTTCCCTCAACCACTCTTCTAGGGAGCCTAGCTTGACCCCTTGCACAATGGGGCCAAGCCAAATTCACAGTTAGTGGCAACTGTGATGCATTTCAAATTAGGGCGGTTATGATAAAATGTCAAATTTAGAAGTGGCATAAGCAAAAATGGTTAAAAACTAGGTTGGCATAAACTAGCAAGTTTTTTATTATTTGTCTCAAAAAGAAAAGAAAAACTAGCATTTAAACCATTTTTCGAATATATAGATACGCCGTTAGACCATTTTTTCACAATAAATTCTAGATTATAGGATTTTCGGCTTTTTTGAGCTTTTGGGACAGGCTCTTGGCAGAAAACTATGGCACGAACAGACCAATCCATCGGGCTTCGGCCGTTGGACTAAACTGCCCATGCCCATATATATTCGCCAGGCCTATATGATACCGAAAAGAACACTCCATGCATAAGTGTGTGGTAGAAAGTATTTGTCATTCGTGTTTACGGGATTGTGGAACATCAAGTGAACCGGTAACCCGTGGCAGCAGTGGGATGACTATGCGGCTGCCTCTGACGCTGCCGCCCTCTCTCTAGCCAGCTGCCTCTCGCAGCGGGTGACACGCTCCTCCGATTCAGGCATGCGCATCCACGGCGTCGGCAGAGCGGGTAATCACACCCATCGTTGCCCTTAAGGAGAAGCGGATGGAGGGAAGGGAGGGTGATGGGCTAGCAGGATAGGAAGCTTCAGCGTCGACACTGCGGCGACGGGCGGCAGGGTACAGAGCAGAGTCAGAGCTACCACTCGTGCCCACCCGCGAGCGCTGCAACGCGATGCAAAGGGCCAGCTCCTTCTCATCACCCTCCGCCTCACGCGCGAAGGCCTCCCAATCGTTGCTCGATACGTTGCCTCCGACGCAGTCGCAGCTGGACACGGTGGACGGAGAGGGAGACTAAACATATGGGGAT